GGAGCCCACGGGCCCACTAGAGGGACAGCTGCGCACGCCGGCACATGCCGAGGAGCCAGGGAGAGCACCGGCTGCATGCGATGAGCCCTTCGTCCTCGCCAAGGCCAGGGTCGTCCTCAGCCGCCCCTCGTCCATGGCTGCCCATTCTGTGCTTTGTGCTCCCTCCCCCTGAGTCTGGCTGTGAGGGGACACAGCCCCCAGACCCCTCTTCTTGTCCCTCAGGAAGAAAAGGCCTCAGGTCCTTTGGTTCATCCTCAGGGCAGCAGAGAGTGGCTCTCAGCGGGGGAGGGACGGGCGCGCAACAAGCCTCAGGCAGCCTCTTCATGGAGCGCAAACTGAACAGCGAGGAACTCACACACTCGAGTACAATTACAAAGTGGTTGGGCAACTCCTCTTCCTGCGTGGCTCCAGGGTGCCTTAGCAAACGTACTTTTTTTTTTTTTTTTTAATTAACTGAATCTTTTTTTTTTTATTTCAGCATATTATGGGGGTACAGATGATTAGGTTACGTATGCACCTCCGGGGGAATGGACACACTTGAAGCTCGGACCTGGGGGGGATGGAGGGCAAGGGCATCATACGTAACCTAGAAAACCTACTTTCAAAAGCTCAGACACAGGAGGCCGGAGGATTGCTGGGGCCGCCCCGAAGCAGCAAGTCTGGACTAATTCCAAAGAAGCAAGGCCTCTGGAAACCAGTGTGCTTGAGGAACCGCTAGAATAACTCAGGGCTGGGCCCTGGGCCACCAGGATTGGTGCCTTCCAGGGTGACTCAGAGCTGCAAAGGCCCTGGGATGAGGTTCTGGGCACGGCCGGCACGACGAAGGGCAGGGACGGAGATTCACGGCTCGGGAGGGGAGGTGGGAAGCATGTTTGTGCTTGGCAGGCAACACGTGGGTGCAATTAACCCGCGCTCACGTGAACACTCAGCCCTCGGAAACAAAGCAGCGCCAGGCCTGGGGGGAGGCCTGGGCAGCAGGAAGGCTGAGAACGAAGAGGGACTGGCCTGCGGCTCCCTGGCTTGCAGAAGGGGCTGTATTTATCTCAGGGTCCCGCTGGGGCTCGTATCAGGAGTGGGGCCAGCTACCCTGACTCCTCTCTCCAGGCAGATGTTGCTGCGGGAGCTGGAGAGCAGGGCTGGGCTCAGCCCTCTCGTGCACACGGGTGTGAGCAGCCCATAAGCCTTGACGCCCTGCGGCCCCCACGCAGGCGGGGGGGCTGGCTTTCCTACACGTGGTCAGGACGCAGGAGCCCCAACAAACACATATCTTCACAGAACATCTAGAAACCGTCAATACAGCAAGGGGCTCCTAGTAAGGCCAGGGCCCTCCTTGAACCAAGCTCTGCTCTCGGTGTGTTTGCCTAATTATGTGCTTTCTAGTTCCCATCCAGATGACACGAGTTTGTTACAGTGCGGTGCCTTGAATGGGAGAGTATGCTCTATGTGAGTTGTAAGCGTGTTCCTGGGTTTCAGTGTTGTCATGAGGATCACATGGCCTGGCCCACAGATGCCTGACTGCCCCCAAGGACAGCATGACCACCTGCAGCTGACCCACAAAAGCAGCAGCCTCCGGGGATGCAGCCTGCTGTGGAGGGATGTGCCCTGTCCCTGCTGTCACTCTGGCGCCTGCTGGAACCACTACTTTGGAATCGCTACCCATGTCCCAACCCCCTTTCATCCAGCCTAGGCACAGACAGTGCATGCTCCTCGGGAACTAGCTGGTTGCCAGGGTAACGGCCCAGCACCACCATCCTCAGGCCCCTCAGTGGTCACGACTTCCTTGCCATCATCCCCCTGCCCTCGGTCTTGGCTTCCCTCATGACTTTCTTTAACCAGTAGAATGTAAGAGAGTGACTGAGCCAGCGTCCAGTCTTGGCAACACGGAGCCTACAGCCACCAAGTAGGCAGATCTGGCTGCCCTGCTGGTAAGACACAGGGAGGGAAAGAGATGTCACCAGCCCTGCTGTCCCATCCATCTCAGAGATGGGCAGTGCCACTCCTGGAGGCGATGGCCCATCTGTGCCAGTCAGTGCTTGTCCCTGTCCCAGGCATAGCGAGTCCTCCTGTACATAAACTTGTGCTCATTTAGCCTCTATTTCAAGTGTCATAATAATGGATTAGTATTTTTCTCTGAAATTCACACCTATTCCAAAGAAGAGGCGCAATCCTAAAATCTGTCATATTGTGTTATAAATTACTTTCCTTTTATTTCTCCTTTAATTGTAGAGCATTAAATTGATTTGGGAGTACAGGTAGTAGTAGTGAAGTCATTTCAAAATATTTGTTTTAAAAGTGGAGTGCGCGTGGGATAGAGGTCAGAAGAGCTGGCTCTAAGGCCTCGCTACTCCGTGTGGCCTCACACAGCCACAGAGCCGGAGGGAAATGCGGGCTGGCAGGACGCCCCGGCCCACAGGGTCAGAAGCTGCATCTGCGCAGGTTCCCGGGGGGACAGCCTGCTCCCGAAGGATTGGCAGCGCTGCTCTCAGGCTCCTGGGCCCAGCTGAGGGGGACCCCAAGGCCCATCACGCACAGTCCTCCATCCTTGGCCCCACAGGGTGGCTGGGAGGCGCCTGGCTCCTAGGGCCGTGCGGGGCAGCACCTGCCCTGCAGGATGGCCCTGAGCCTTCCCACGGGACTTGCACCAGACCACAGCCAGGGCCCCGGGAGCTGCAGGTGCTGGGTGGAGCTGTTTGGGAGGAACCTCAGCAACAACTGTCATGGAAGGATGAAGAAAAATTCCTTCAACAAGGTTGGCCTCCATGGCAGACGTTTCCTGAATTGAAACGTGAGGCTTGGAAGGAAGCTGGGCTTGAATCAGGCCTCTGCCCCCGCCTGGTTTCAGGACTCTGTTGAGCTCCTCAGCTGTGTTCTCTGTGAAATGGAGCCATCCGGGCTGTCGTCCAGGAATGCATAGAACATGCAGGAGCCAGCACGGGGCCTGGCCCGCAGCAGGTGCGGATGGAGTCCTGGACAGCTGGGGGCCTTCAGCGCCGTGCACAGACACGACAAGGCCATCTGGGCCCTCTTACTCCCGCATGGGACAAGGCAGCTGGCATCCCCATTCTCAGGAGGCTCTCTGTGGGGCCTGAAGGAGGACATTGGGTACTTCTGTGTGCCCCAGTCTGCCCTTCTGGGCCTTGCTTTGCTTCCCTGGCCCTGCCCAGGGCCCGGTGGGGCCTGTAGCTCAAGTCAGACTCTCCAGCATACCCCTGAGCCCAGGCAAAAGTGCTGTCAGAGCACACCCGGCTTGGAAACTGCCTATGTGGCTTCCACACTCCAACCGTTCAGAGCAAAGCAGCTGGAAAACAAACCCATTTGCCCACCATGTGCTGAGCATCTGTCACGAGCCAGATTCCAAGGAGGATGGATCAAATGTGTGGTCCCTGCCCTGCACGCTCTTGAAGGGAGGCCCATGCCAATGCATGTGTGCAATGAGCCATGAGGGGGAAGGTTCCGGAGCTGGCTTAGCAGGACAGCACAGAGACACGCAAAGAGGCTGGCAGGAAGGGCACAGGCTCCAGAGGGAGAGACCTGGGCTGCATCGGCCCCATGGCATGGTGCCCAGTATGCAGGAGTTCTCTGCTGCCCCTCTGGACCCCTGTCCACCCTTGCCCTCCCTGCTTGGGCCCCTGGAGGCTGGCCTCTGTGCCTCTGTGCTCCCCTGCCCTCTGACTTCTGGTGGGAGATCTGAGTGGGGAAGAGAGAGGCTGAGGAATGCACGATCCTGACTCCCTCCCCACCAACTCCCCCTTCTAAGGCCCCTGCTGGCAACACCTCCCTAAGCTGCAGCTCTCGCACATTCAGGAACCTCTCCTCCCCTTGTCCCTTAAGGTCTAGGCTGGAAACAGCTTCCTGTCGGTGCTCATCCCTGGATGTGTGTCTTCCTTTCCTGGTCCCTTAACCTTGCCCGTACCTCTGGGGAGAATCCCCTCCCTAAACGCTGCCCAGAGTCCCTGTTGGAGTGGCCCCTCAAGCAGAGATGACCACATCTAACACTTCCAAGCTCCAAGACCTCGGGCTAATAGTGATTATTATGCACAATTATAACCATATGTCAACATCAATACGGGATGTTTACTAGGAGCCAGAATGTCTTAAAGGTTTTGAACATCTGTCTGTTGGTAACTTAGACCTCACAACACCCCTGAGGCTGAGAGCCACTGTTTCCCGTGTCTCAGGTGAGGAAGAAGAGGCAGAGAGGGCGTGTTGTCCGCAGTAAGCAAGGGGGTGCCGTGGAACCACCGTCAGTCCAATTCCAGAGCTCGGCTCTTATCCCGGTCATCAGCAGGAGTGACAGTGTCCCTGGCTGTTTTGGAGATTCTGAAGGGGGGATGCAGGGAGGGCTCTCAGAGGAGACCACCACCAAGAGGTCTGCACATGCGACATGGAGGCTTGAGGAGAGGTGGGGACTCGCGAGAAAGCAGGCAGCATTCACAGGGAGGTGACAGTCAGGAGAACCGCCGGGCTGAGAAAGACGGCGTAGGCAGGAAGGGGCTGAGGACAGACTCCAGGGAAACAGGGACACTGGCAAGGAAGGAGATGGAGGGGCACTCAGACTGGACAGGGAAAGAAGGGAAGGGGCGCTTTCCAAGTCCTGCCTGCCTGCCAGGCGGACACTCCCGGGAACGTTCCACCTGACGAAGGGGTGTCGATCCCGGTTCATAAATTCAGAACGGCTCAGGAACTTGTCCAAAAGCTCTCACGTGGCAGAGCCATAATTCAACCCCAGGCTCATCGGACACCACAGACTCTTTGGGGAGAATAAGAGCAGGAAGGGGCCGCAGGGACCCAAGACGGGTTTCTGTCAACAGCGGCCACGGTGTCTTTGAGCAGAGGCTAAGGAAACACATCTGCCGGCTCGCTGCGCTCAGCACTCACAGGTAAATAACCCCTGACTCACGATGTACTTTTCCACCAAGGTGGTATTTTGCGTGGCACCTTCCGCCTGTCTGTGGTCGGGCTGTGCTCGCATCCCAGACATGACCTTATCGTTTTCTTACCTCTGGATTTCCTCTTGCTAAACACAGACTGCCAGACGATGGCCAACAGGAAGAGCAGGATGCTGAGGATCCCGAGGCAGCACACGAGGGCGGCGTACATGTAGAGATCTGAAAGGCAAGGGCACGCGGCTCAGCCTCGCGGGGCCACCGGCGGGGGCGGGTGCCGGCGCAGAGACCGTCAGAAACGGGAAATTGGACGTCCCGATACTGCAGCAATCGGGGTCCTGTGTAGCGGTGAAGGGACAGACACAGATCAGTGAAACAGCACAGACGGCCCAGAAATAGACCCACACGAGTACGCTCAATTGATTATTGACAGAAGTGCAAAAGCGATTCGGTGGCGGAAAGACAGCGTCCTCCATCAGTGGTGCTGGAGCAAGTGGACTTTCACTGGCAAAAAATAAAATTAAACCTCACACATTACACAAAAATTGACTCAAACGGAACCACAAAGCTAAATGTAAAATGTAAACTAAAAAACTCTTAGGAAAAACAGAAGAATCCTGGGGATCTAGGACGAGGCGCAGAGTTCTTAGACCTGACCCCGGAAGCACCGTCCACATAAGTAAAACGTGAGAAATTTGATTTAATCAAAATTAAAAACTTTTGTTCTGTAAACCATATAAAGAGGATGAAAAATCAAGCTACAGACCAGAAGAAAATATTTGGAAACCACATATCCAACAAAGATTAGTACCTAAAATATAAAGACTCTCAACATTCAACAGTAAAAAATAAACCAACGATCTTATTAGAAAAATGGGCAAAACATACGGAGACATTTCACCAAAAAGGATATACAGGCAGCAAATAAGCACATGAGAAAATCTTAAATTTCCTTAGCCATGAGAGAAATGCGAAAATATCCCACACACCTTTCGGAATGGCTAAAATAAAAAATTGTGTCAACACCAAATGCTGGCAAGGATGTGGATAAACTGGGTCACGCAGAGGTGGCTAGTGGGAATGTGAAATGGTACGGCCACTTTGGAAAACAGTCTGGAAGTTTCTTAAAAGACAATCCTGTAACTACCATTCAGCCCTGCATCGGCTCTCTGGGGCACTTGTCCCAGAGAAATGTCAGCTCGAGTTCTCACAGAAACCCGTACATGTATGTTGCCAGTGAAACCACGTATATTAAAGTAATGCAGGCCCGTAAGGCAAGACTGTGGCAGAAGTCTGATTTCTACGGAAGAGGCATAGCTAAAAGTTACCCGCCACTGTTTCATCGCTTGCCTTCCTGCAATTGTTTACCGCCTAGGAGTCATGTACTCCTGACTGTCGTACGATTTGTAATTGCCCCTACGATAACATCACTGCTATAAACCTAAGACTGGTCTTTGAGATGTTTCCCAGACTTCGCACGCAGGGAGCCGGCTGACCCCAACCACAGCAGTGGCCGTGTGGGGGAACTGACTCAACAGGTCCTGTGACCCTCTAACCAAGAACTCAGCCCAGAAGACAATTTCTGCTTCCCCAACCCTATGAGTTCATCCCCAGCCAATGAGCAGACCCCATTCCCTAGCCCTTTGTCTGCCAAATTACCTTTAAAATCGCTGGCCCCAACATTCTCAGGAGATGAATCTGAAAAATTCCTCTCATATCCTAGTTTGGTGCCTTGCGACATTAAACTCTTTCTCTGCTGCCCCCGCTGTCTCAATGCATTGGCCTCCTCTTGCGCATTGGGCGAAGAAGCCGGTTGTGCAGTAACAAGAGTGGCTTTATTCATGATGGCCCAACACGGATACAACCCCGATGTCCTTGAACAGGCGATCGATGAAACAAAGTGTGGTATGTCCACACTGTGGCATACTCGGCAATGAAAAGAACAAACTACTGACACACACAACAACCTGGATGACCCTCTAGAGAATTATGCTGCATGAAAAAAAGGGATCCACAAAGGTTATACACTGTATGATTTCATTTATGTAACATTCTCAAAATGGCAAAAGTACAGATATAGAGAGCAGATTAGTGTGGTTGCCAGGGGTTCGGGAGGGGCTGGGGATGGAGGAAAACGAGTTTGGCCGGAAGGGCCCCTTGTAGTGACAGAGAAGTTCCGCCCTTGACTGCGCAGTGTCTGTGTCCCGGTTGTGAACTGTACCACAGCTTTGCGAGACTCTGTTGCGGAGAGATGTCAGGTAAAGGACACAGGCAGGTACACGGATCTCTCTGTACAATTGCTGAGAAATGGATGTGCATCTATAATGACTTCAAAATAAAAAGTTTTTTAAATCTCAATAGCTAAGCCCTGTTCATATACGTACATTTCTTAAATTCAATTTTATCAGTGATCTGATCCATTAAATGCCACAACGGCGCAGAAAGCGGAAAGGGAAGCCAAAGCATTATTTCAGTCTTCTAGGAAGCAAACTGCTGCAGATGTTTGAACTTAGCAAAAGCGTTTCTCTGCTGACTTAAATTTCTTCAGCCAATAGACACTTAATTATCGGCCACGTTCAGTCCTCTCCTAAGTACAAGAAATAAAGACGAACATGCAAAGGTTTTCCCTACAAGACATCAGAGGACTACGTGGTAACTGCAACAATAGGAACATGTGCCCCATCCTAGGGACACACGGATGGACTCAGCCCAGCCTGGGCAGGCGGAGGGGCTTCCGAGAGAACAGAGCTCCGCACTGAGCTGTGTGTAAACTAACACAAAATACAAAAATGTACAGGGGAAAAAGTCATCAGCCATCCCATCGCCCTGAGGTCACTACTGTTAACATTTGGTGTACTTTATAATTTTAATGCATGTATTTTTAAATTGAGATCAGACAGTTATACATCTTGCTTTTTATTTATCTCATTTTCTCAGTAAGTTCTTTTCAGAAAATGATTCTGAATCATTTTTAAAAATATGATAAAAGTTAATCATATTAGTATACCATCAGTGATTTAACAATCCCTTACTATTGACTACTCAAAGTATTTCTACCTGTTCCCCATAATAAATAATTCCATGATGACCATTCATAAACTTAAACCTTAATGCACCTCTCACGGTATGTCCTTGAGATTAAGTTCCCAGAAGCGGAGTTGCTGAGTTAACAGGAATGCACCTTTATAAAGCCCTCGGGATGTGGAGAAGCAGTTAGTTAAGTGCTCAAGCTGAAAAAGCAAGCTGCTGGGTGTGCCAGCTCCCACAGCAAGCCTGGAGGAGCAGGCTGGGCATCAGGTCAGTGAGAGAGAAGGGAGAATGGGATGGAATCAGACACTTTGACTCTCCTTTCCCCGGTCCGGGCCCCAGGGAGGCCCACTGCAGCTTCAGCCTCTGGAGTGCACGAGCTTCTCCTGCGTTCAGGAGGTCAACATTTTTACCTAAGCTAGCTCGAGCAGGGTTCTGCTTCTGGTGACGCATAAGGCTGAGCTAAAATTAGAATAAGTAGAGAGTGCTGTAGGACAGGCTGCAGGTGATCACCTGCACTAGTATTTCAGGGATCAGGGAGGGAAGGTCTCCTACAAAGGGATCCGGGGCTGGTCATGGAAGCAGAGAGGACTGGAGGGAGGGTTCTAGAAGCCAAGAGTAAAGCATTGCAAGAGGGTTTCTTTGTTGGCTTCCCTTTCAGGAAACCCCGGTTGTTGGGGAGTTCTTGGGGGGAGGCCCTTCGGGGGGCTGCTGGCGGCAGAGCTGGATGAGGGCGGTCGGGGAGCGATGGGCTATGAAGAGCTGAGACAGAAATAGAGAAAACTCTCTTGTATGTCTAAAATTAAAACTGCTTCCTTTGTAGATACCTGTGTTCTAATGTGTGGGCTTTGTAGGTTAGCAGGGTGGAGCGTTCCGTGAGAGGTCAGAGTTAGAACAGAGGCTTGGGCCTCCATTTAAACTACGTGAAACTCAGCAATGGGACTCCTGGATTCTGGACAAGACACTTGTTGACAGACTGGGGGGCAGAGCAGAGTTCACGGACCAGGACTCGGACAGGACACTAGGATGCAGGACTGGCCAGAAAACGGCCAACACATGGCCCGCCCGGATCCATGCACGGTTGAGCAAACTGCTCCAGGACAGGGTCGCAGAGCCCTTCCTGGCAGAAGAGGACGGCAAACAACATGGTCGTGTTGCCAGACAGACGGGATGTGGCAGACAGACAGGGCAGGGGGACGCAACATCCGCCTCGAAGGGGTGGCAGATGTCAGCCCAGAGACCAAAAGGCAGGACAATTTGGCTCCAGTCCCATTCTCGGAATGGAGAGGAAAACCGTCTACAAAGGTTTCCGTGCGCTGGAGCAGAGCAGCCTGATCCGGGCACGCCTCTTCATCGGAACTCGTTCCTTGATTTCAGGACTGCAGGAACCCCGGAGGGACTCGGTTGCAGGCGACAACCGCGCTGCGGCCGGCCATTCTCCCCAGGTGCCCCAGCAGCACGCTGCGGGCATCCGGGCCCCGCTCTGCCCAGGCAGCCGGCCAGGGCCCTCACATGGGTTCGGATCGCAGCCTCCTCAGCCTGGCACAAAGGGGGCTCCACAGGCAGCTGTGGCTACAGAACCATAAAACATCTGGCCAGTCTGGAAGGCACAGCTGCCCTGCCCAGCACATAGGCCTTCGGGTTGTGACGCTGGCCGGTAGGCCCCTCCCGCCTGCCTGTGGGTCCCACACACACAGGAACAGTCGTGGCCGCTCTGTTGTGTTTCTGAAGCTACGAGAACCTTAAAAAGTGTCACCTTGCAGGAGGAGAAAATCCCAGAAAGAACATTCGAGTTTCCCTCGATGGGGCAGCAACAGTATCCCAAAGTTCTGATATTTTTCCTTCTATTCCAAGCACTCCTTTCACTGCATAAGGACAACCACCCTGCTGTGTCTACTCGAAGCACTGACTCCACCTCCCTGGTGTTCTCTGGGAACAAAGGCTAAACCCTGAGCCACTGAAGCCAGGGTCACCTTCTGCCATGTCAGCTGGTGCAAAGCCGCACCATGCCTCAGCCTGTTCTCAGGCTGGAAGGCTGGCTTGGTGTTGCTGTATCTTCCAACTTGTCCTTCAACTTTTTATGCAAAACTCTCTCTAATTATGTATGTTGGCTCTGAAGTTTTAAAACTGACCCCAGGCCAAACAACGCTTGCCAGAGGGCTAAAGCCAAATCTTCAGGCCCAAATTTAAGAAAACATCTGCACTTAACTGAATCTGGAGTTAGCTTTTAAAATACCATATATTACTGCACACCCACCATAATTGCAGAAATCGTGTTACATTCCCTGAATTCATTTGAAGTCTTTTGCCATTGGACCTCCAAAGGATGCCATTTTTGCACTAAAGCGCAAGCAGCCACGCAGACAACACCCAGGCCTCCCTGAAGCAGGTGCAGAGCTGGCAGGCTGGAGTGGCTGCCCGCGCGGCAGAGAGGCCAAGGCAGGGGCGCCCAATGCTGGTGTGCCAGCTCCCACCCTCCCAGACAACACAGCCAAGCCAGGGCAGGCAGCACCTGTTGCCTGGCAACCCGGATTCCGGCAGGGGTATTCAGCGCTGCTTTGAAACAGGGTGACCCCTGCATTCCTCAGCATAATCAAGGAGCCCCACTTCCCCCCACCACCGGATGAAGAGAGATATCGTCAGTTCTATACATTTCCAGGGCAAATGCAAAAGCCTAGAAGACGGAAGTTTTCTGGAGATAAAACTCTGCTTCCTGCTGCTATTTTTTATCCAGCCCATAACAGCATCTTGCTCAGGGTGAAATACCTGAGCGATAGTCCTGAGGGATTTTAACTCACTCCGGCATCTCACAAAGAGGCCTGACCATCAATGCCTCCTTTGTGCAGTGGGCTCGGGGCCAGGCGAGCGGCCCCAGGAGGATGGCTATCCGTCCGCAATCCCCGCTGCACTCTCCCAGGCAGGAACAAAAGGGCAAAAGGCCTGGGATCATGTGCCAGGGAGTTTCAACTGTACCCCTAACCTCGCCAAAGCCGTGGCTGGGTTAAAAAAGCAAAACACGCGGATGTTGCTGCTGCAGCTGCCGTTGCCAAAATCATAGGAAAAGATGGCTTTGGAAACAGCTGCTGTGAGCAAGCATTGCACACGGCGAGAAAACCAGTTCTGCTCTTTGAAGGGACCCGATTCCCTCTGCTGAGCAGACGGCACACGCCGGGCTACGGTCTTCACGTAGACAGTCAGGTCAGGAGAAACCCTGACGTTCCACAGCTACACGTGAATTATAAAATATTATTAATTATACAGAGTGCTTCAGAGACACTGGTGATGCTGCAGGTTTGGTGGGACTAAGTGCCAAAATCCTTCCAAATACATAAATTTTTGCTTTTTGTACCACGGTATTTTCAAAATACGATCCTCAGACCACTTGCCTAGGAATCTCCTCTGCCCCTGAGAAAGTGCAAATTCTTCGATCCCTTCTTAATGTAATAATCAGAACCTCAGGAGCTGCAGCCCAGGGTCTCCCTGGGAGATTTGTATGCATCTGGTGATGCACAGGGCTCCGGCTGTCACATCCCGGTGACATCCCTATCCTTAGGGACACCCAGGTTGTCTTCATAACCCCATCCTCTCACAGTGCCTGGACTCGGGGCAGCTCCAGAGACATGGGGTAGAAACCAGTGAGGGTTGCTCAGTATTACTAAACATCAACGAGAAGGTCAACCTTGCTTTCAGTGCTGCTTCACTCCATGAGGAGTTAAGTCGCTTTCATCTCTTTGCCAACAGGTAGGCATCTCAGGGAACTGGGGATTATTTGCTAGAAGATCACTAAACAAAGAAAAAAGCAGCTACAAAGCGTATAGAAGAAAAGTCAGGGAATACAAAGAATCATTGCTGGCGTAAAGTGCAATCTGAGGAACAAAATATATGACCATAAAACTAAGCAATCCTAGTGGCCCACACGGGTGACACCTTATGGTTTGCAAATGATGTTCGCAATTAAAAATTACATTTTTCTAAGAAAGAAAGTGCTTCAACCCACTGCTTTATAACCAGTTATCGGAGGAGGTGGGCTTGAATGCAAGTGCTCTTCCTCTGAGGTAGGCCCTCCTTCTGCCAGACACCCGCTGGGTTAACAAAGGGTGACGGTGACACCCCAAGGCATGCGCGTCTCCTGAGATGCTTTTGGCTAGATCATTCTTCCTTAATAAATACCATGCCTTCACAAGACATAATCCGCCCAAAGTTGCTGACCACCTCTTAACATTAACGGTCTCTCACTGATCAAAGGCTCTGCCTGAGAACACACAGAGTAAATTCTCTCACTGCTTATGGTTCACAATCCTCACTCATTTTACGGTAGTAATTTCTCTGACCTTTCCTTACTCCAAGGCAGGGTTTTTCGACCTCGGCACTCTTGACATTTGCAGCCGAAATTCCTTGCTGTGGGGACTACCATGTACGCTGTGGGAAGTTTAACATCATACCTGTGCCCTAGCCACTAGATGCTGGGAATATCCCCGCACAGTTGTGGCAACAAAAATATATCCAGACAGTGACAAATGTCCCCTGGAGCGGCAAAATCACCCCCTGCTGAGAACCCTTGCTCTAGGGCCCAAACCTGAGTGTGCAGCAGAATCACCTGGAGGTCTTATTAGAACCCAGATTGTTGAACATCACCCCAGCATTTCTGATCCTGTAAGCCGGTGTGGGGACCCGTCACGCACACTTGTAACAAGGTTCCAGCTGATGACGATGATGCTGGCCTGGGACCACACTTCGGGAGCCACTGTTCTAAGGCTGTGGTCTTCAGCCAGGCTGTGTGCTGGAATCAGCTGAGGAGCTTCTAACGGTTCCAGCTGAATCAGGAGTTTCATGTCTCCAGAGACATGAAAAGGCATCAGCTGATTCTAACATGGGTTGGAAATTACTTGCTTAATGTTTTCAAACTGTTTCTCGAACCCCAAACTCCTTAAGACACTTGAAATAAAATGTAGTCACAATAGATGTACTTATCATTGTTAAATCACTTCAAGATTCAGGAGTTATGGAGAAAAATGAAACAAACAAAAATTATGTGGATTGGTGCTTCAACTTCTGCTCTTTTAAAACACGTGGGCTGACACCATCAGTGATTCCCATCTTACTCTTGAGTAGGTTGAGGCCAAGAAAACAACTTGATATTACGGCAAAACTTAGAAGTTAGGACCCTTTCTTCCCACTCTCTTCCCTTCCTACTGTCTGAAAGTGAGCCTGCATCTTATAGTAAGGAAATATGCAAGCTTTACCTTCAAAAACTGCCCAAGTCTTCTTCTTTTTCTCAAAAGATGAATCTTCAGAAGCTTTGAGAGAAATCACTATAAGACAAAAAGAAACAGCACAATATGAAGTAGAGTAGCTTACAGCCCTGTCCCGCATGGTAACCCAAAATAATGCCATATGCTATATCTGGCACCTAAGTTCATAAAGTCATTTCCACGTTTGCAAAACCACACTTAACTGTCACAACTAACATGTCAGGGAAGGTGCGGGGGCTCACCCGGAACCGCTAGGAACTCCGGGGCACAGAAACAGTGAAGTACACTGCCCATGTTTAAAAGCCAGGAAATGGCAAAGCCGGGACTCAGTTCAATAAAAGCCTCACCTGCCCCATATACTAGTAAAATCAAGAGTGCTCCAATGGGAAGTCCGAGAACCAAAACAATGTCTATTTCACCATTTTGGTGCCTGAGTATTCCTAGATAGAGGAGGCTGCAGTCATCCGATGACTCGGCGTCAGGCTCTGAGAACCCTCCTCCATGCAAGACAGTCCCACAGAGCGACCGGCATCTGATTTGGAGATTATTTTGTCTTCTTTCTGCTAATGGTTCATCACTGAATTTACTTCACCTGCTTTCAGTAGCCAGGGAAACAGAATTGACTCAGCCTGTGTAAAATCTTGAACATCACACTAAGAGTCTGAGACCATGAAAATGTTCTATGCATAGGGGTAACATCATCATAAGTAAAAATCTAAAAATTAAACTGACAAAACATGTAAAATATCAGGGGATGAGATTATTGTCCAAGAGAACTTTCTGAGATGATGGAAATAAATGTTCTATATCTTCACTGTCCAATACAATAGCCACTGGCCACATGTGGCTATTGAGCACTTGAAATGTGGCCAGTGTGACTGAGGAACTGAATTTGTAATTTAATTTTAACTAATTTAAATTTAAATAGCCACATGTGGTCAGTGGCTACCACATTGAAGAGCTCTAGACAAGGGAATTCAGGACGGAATGGAGATTGAATCAATATGAGAGGAAAGGAATTTGGCAAAGGTGGCCTAGAACTTTAATTCTATTTACTGCCCCTCCCACAAACTTTTGTATTATTTTCATAATTTCAATACTTAATTTTCCATCCTTTTTCTCTTTAGACCTTGCATTGGATGCTTCCTATTGACCTATCTTCCAAATCACTAATTTTCTTTTCATCTGTGTCTAACCTCTTGTACAACCCATCAAGTTCTTAATTTCATTTGTTGTATTTTTTAGTTTTAGATTATTTGTTTAAATTTTTATATATATCTCAGTTCTCTAATGACTTTCTCTAGCTTGTCATCTGATTTCTTAACCATATTAATCTTACTGTTTTAATATCCATGCCTGATAACTTTCATAAAATCACCTATAAACACATTTCTATCATCTGTTTTTGCTTTGGATCTTATCCACTGGTGTGCCTGATTTTTTTTCCTAATTATCTGTGGAAAATCATAGAAAGTCTAGATAAAATTTTAATTTCCTGATAGGAAGTTATAGTAGGGAGATAGTCAGCTTAGTCCAATCAGGGTTTGAACTATTTAGAGGCTTGGTTTCAGTTTTTATAGAGTCCGGTCTATTTCTGATTTGTCCTTACTCTTAGGGCTCACTCAACCCTTCAGGGTGCCCCAATGGAAATCCTGGGGTATTTACCGCAGCCCTTCCAATTTTCATCTCACTGTTAGAATTGCCAAAAACTCACTTGTTTCCTAAACATCTGGTTGTCACTTTCTGCATAGCTTCTCTCAACTAGCACTGCTTAAGTATGGTTGAATTTCTTAAAACAGTGTCTCCAACAATGGAGCTCACTTTGCTTTCTCTGTGATCTATTTATCTATCTAGTCCTTCTGAGAACAATTGGGATAGCTGAAATATATTTGCACATATATAATTATGTAATACAAATGTATTTATGAAATATAGATATGTAATTCAGAAAGCAGAAAGGCTGATGGATGTTTTCAGTTTTCCTAATTGTTCTCAGAAGGAGGCCTTTGGTCTGCTATAAGCGAGTTTGTCTTTACCGTAGAACTCTTCTCCCATTAGAATCTAAATTCTTTAAAACCAGTGGCTGTATCTTCTACCTTTGTATCCCCGTCATTTGGCACACTGCCTGGCAGCTGATAGGCACTTGGCATATAAATGAATGATCCATTTGTTTCACGAAGTAAGCAATCTGGACCTCCAGGAAGGAATTCTTAGTGGTTATTTGGTCTTGCATGTGACATAAGATACGTCAGACAATTAGTCTATCATGCCTGCCTTTCCCTGCCTGTCTATTTCACCCTGTAATCCACTGACTGCCAGGGCAACCAATCAGATTCAAGCACTTAAAATAAGAACGAGTATGTATGGTTGCTGTAGGCCTGGATCGGAAAGAGCTGGTGGGCTGGGGGTGGGAGTGGGTGCAGCCCTGTGGGCAAGCAGGCAGGCAGGAGGGAGCAAATGTGGGAACCGCACAAAGGGGAGGTGGGAGGCCCCAGGCTTGATGGTGCTCTGGGCCCCAGAGGCCTGACGTTTCTTGTGTTCCATGAGCTCTGCATCCTAAACTGTTCCCGCCCCTCTCCTGAATCGGCTTGGCCGGGTTTTCATGGCTTCGACTAATTGAGCCTAGACAATGACTAGAAAGTTCTGATGAAGAAAACACAGAAATGGACAACAAACATATCTCCAAGGAGCTAGGTTTCAGGAGGTCAGAGATGTACATCGTGGTTCAGAGGCTTACCCCCACTGGGAGTTTGTTGGAAGTACAGAATCGCAGGCCCCACCCTGGATCTACTGAATTAGAATCTGCTTTTAAACCCAGATCCCCTGGGTGAAACACATGCACTTTAAAGTCTGGGATACACTGATGCTCACGGGGTTGAAGTGCTAAATTGCCACTTGCTGGTTGTGTGACCTTGGATAAGTCACTTAACTTCCCTGTGCCCTACTTTCCCCGTTTGTAAAAAAGGGATGATGAGAAATGCCCACGTCAGGGCAGGTGTGAGGGTTAAAGGGGTTATCGTGTGTAAAGTATGTAGAATAGTCCTGAGACCTAGTGAGCTATCTTTACCCACAAGGACATTAGCTCCCTGAGAACAGGGATTTTTATCTATTTTATTTACTGCTCTAATTCCCCCACCTAGAATGGTCCTTCACTGTCAGCCCTTTGCCTCAGAGTACGACGCTTCAATTGTCCAAATGGTCAGCAAGGAAGGGTTCCCTGTCCTTGTCGCTAAATCCCTACAGCTCGAATAAACCGAGGCAGGTGCCTGTGGATCAATTTTAATTCGCCTTTCAGGGGCAGAAATTGTGAGTCCTTGATTTAATCCAATTACAGTACAGATATTTGAAGGGAAAGCATAGTAGCTTTGTTTGGCGTAGGACGATTAGCAGCACTGGTCGTAATCTTATCTGTTCCTACAAGAAAGGAAAATCTTTACACGGACCCTGCCAGAGCTTCAGGAATTTTCCCAAGGTTCTGCCATAACTATCCCGTTTCAGTTGCTAATCCTGTGCTATCTCAAAGTGAATTGGATACATTGTCAAACCATGTGTCTAAGTCCACAGACTGTATGGACACAGGGCTGTCAGATATGGCCAGGCCAACAGCAAGGGCTTTGTAGTGGACAGTCAGTGGGTCTTCTGACTTTATGAAGGCACCTCCCTCCCCGGCACAGCTGTGCAGCTGACATAAATTCACCTTGGTTAACCTGTAAGCACTGAGTGGAAGAGGCCCCTGCCGGGCAGACAGCTGGAAGAGGATGAAATGCTTTGAGAAAACATTTTGCTAGACCAGGGAATGAATGGCGAATTTTCCAACCACAGATTACTAATGTTGGTCAAAGACATTCTGAAATAAAATGCAAATCTCTTAATCGAAGAGCATTTGTAATAGTTTCCAACGAGTTGAGCCATCAGAAGGCTGTAGCCTTTTAAACAACAGTCAATAAATCTATGCACTTTCAACTGTGTTGGCCTTCCCTTGTGGCCCAGCGGGGCCCCCAGACCACTGAGGAGAAGGGCTTTTGCTAAGCACCTGCCCAGGGAGCTGGGAGTCCTGCCCCCTGCCAGCTACCCTTGGCTGGACGAGTGCTCAGCTAATCCCTCAAAAGGAAAACACAGGGAGCCAATCAGCTTTGAACAAACGAGTTGTGCTATAGGGTCATGATAGCTGGGGGAGCTTCTGCCCCTTCCCAGGAGGGAGCAGGATGGAGTGGCACTCCCTGACTCTCCCCACCCCTCCCCTCTCCATTCACTGTCCCCTTCTCCCTGGCGGGCCAGGAGAAGCCCCTGATCCAGGTGAGAGGAACGTGGTAAGAGCCTCTTCCAGGTGGCCTCTGTCTTGCCACATGCTCTGAGACTGGCCCCCAGCAAATAGGTGGCATGGGGGGTGGGAGCAGGTGCCGTGCGCTCCCTGGGGAAGGTCTCCTCACCCAGCTGCTGGGAGTGATGCCGGCCCTGCCTCCCAGGGAGCCCCACCTGTGGCCACTCTCCTCCCCCATCCTTCCTAAGTCAGGAATCCCAAGGGAGGGCGGTACAAGGACCCTGACCTCCTCCTGCCCGGGCCTGCAGGCCTCTGGGGCCGGGGAGAGGGGACAGAGAGTACGACCAGTCAGAGGGGCAGAAAGAAGTCCAATCTGGCCACCTTTCTCTACACAGCTTTATCGGAAATACGTGGGTATCTCGATTCCTCTTTGACCCCCACGCCCACTTACCAGTTCAGGGCTCACGGCGGGGAGAGGAGTCAAGAGCGCTAAAAAGCTAAATCGTCAATGGATCTATCGACTGCTTTGTGATTTCCTGAGGAGCCCGCGCCCAACGGGCACAGTCCACCTGACCTCCCAGCGAGGCAGTGGCCCAGATGACAGAGCTCGGGCCACTCTCGGCCTTCCCCGGGAGCGCAGAATCAGACGAAATCTAATCGGGGACAAGCTGTGAGACCCACCACTGTCACTGCCCGCCTGGGAAGAAAGTGGCCGCAGGGTCGAATGGCCTGGAGGGATGCAGCCCAGACGCTGAGACAAACTGATCGTATCAGCGTCGCGCCCGGAGGAAACAGGTTG